ACAATAATAACAATAATAACAATAATAACAATAATAACAATAATAACAATAATAATAATGTGGTTGAACTCACAAATCCTTCTTAAAAATATCTATTGCAAATTCAGAGGACTCTGTCTGATTTCCCACCATCGATTCTGCTGAAATATTATTTTGATTCTTTACTGTATTGCCTTCGATACGAAGCTTGAGACACACGGTCTAACGTACCTGGATAGAAAGGATTGTGAATTAGAGAGAAATATGAAAACAGTTGAATAATGCTACATGGTCTCTTATGGAGGGAATTATGAGAGGAAAATGTGAAGACAAACCGAGTCAAGTTGACAATTTTATTAATGTGTAGTATGCCATCTCATTTTCATCCGTTATTAGAAAGCTTTTGAATATTTCATTTTTATTTCCGGTGATATTTATTACAAACTAGGACCAAGATTCTGCATATCAAATGTTTTTAAACTTACAATTTCATTACTTCTTCAATTTCCGTATACCCCCAAAATAGTTACAACTTTATAAAAAATGTAAATTTCGTTTGGTGCGCCTTTTTTAAAATTTCAGTACTTATTCTCTCGATAAAACTGCTGATATCTTGAGTTCATATATTTTCGACTTTTTTTAAAGCGTGCAAATCTTTGCATTTCGTAACATCAGTATGCTTTTCTACGTGTGGCATTTTCTTCACCATAGAATATTTCGTCCACAATGTAGTTGGAATAAATTTCTCGAACTGCAAAAAAGTAATACTCTTCAAAAAGTGCACACGTAATACGTATTCTTGGTAAAAGACAATGTTAATAATCATATACATATTCAGATGAAATCAACAAAAAATCTTGAAACAATGCCAGCAACACAGTCTCATTGTCAACATTCATATTATTTTTTGTCATCCATAACAACAAGTCTTTCTACTCCCTTTTATAAACATCCGTGCCTTTTCCGGGAAACAAACCTCCGTATGCTTTTTTTGGTTTTGCTCTATCTCTTCTGGAATATTTTCATTTTTGTCCATTTCCATTTTTTAATTCTCCCGTGGTCGCAAATAGACACAATGGCAAACGAAGATCACATTGCCACTGATCCAATCACATTACAAATCGAGTCAAGTTAACATCTAGTTAATTCGTAAATAAGTATAAATGAATGATTAAAATGAGGTAAAAAAAAATCTTGTTTGTACCACTAGCGTTAACTGGTTCTAAAGATCTCGGGCGACAAAAAGCCCTCAGTCCAAAGGCCTTCGTACCTTTATAACGCGTTTCGTACATAAATAACTATTCTGAATAGTTTTCAACAATTTTAAGACAGAACAAACGGGTAAGCGCCAAACCAAAAATATGAATTTTACTTTTCCTTCCTGTGTATCACCTCAGCCATCCGATCTTCAATTTTCGACTGTACAATCTGTATGTAAGAATCTTTTGAACTGTAACTTTGCAGACATTGTAATTAACGTCTACTAGTGCTGTTGTTAAGATGGTAAAGATTAATTACCCGCCCTCTTCTCACCCCCTCCCGTTGCCGACCGGCTGTGTTCGTGAACAAGACACACTCTCAAAAATCCGCAAAACTTTGTTTCCGGCCCGGAAGGTGCAAACTCAGAGGATGATCGCTACGCAATCGAAAATATCATCAGCCAAATAAATTGTTGATACCAGAAAATATAAGATTAGTGCAGGGGGAGAGGGATACACGCAATTTTGTACCCGAAAAACGGGATATCTGGATGGATGGTTGGAAGGAAGAACGTGTTATGTATAATGTCGGATTGAATGCTCTAGAGCTGAAACTTGCTAAATACGTCAGGCATACGATCGAGTTGCGCAAATGCGGAGATCATTAAAATATTTTAATTTAGGCATGTTACTTTTCATGAAGCCCTTACAAAATTTTCAATTTTTTTTGGAAAATGGCTGAATATATTTTTCTTTAAAACTCGAATGGAAGAAAGTACACTTGTAAGTATGATAGTTTTGATTTTCATTGAAACCCCCGGCATTTGAAAATTGAAAAAATATTTATATTTAGATATTAGAGGTTTTGTTTAGAAAGAGGATTATACTCAACCGAATTCGTGACTTTTGATTTAAATGAAAGGTAGTGAGCTACATATGTTTTCTCGTTAGCTGTTATTAAACGGCGTATTGTATAGATATTGAATTTTAAAATGAATTGCAAGTAATACAATGAACACTTATCTGAGTTTGTTCATTTCCTTATTTGAATGTGTGCGTTGAATTCTGTCTTTTAAAAGCATTGGATGTTTCGTAGTTTACAGGGAGGAAACTTGGATGAGGTTATAATTTGGAGGTTATAATTAGCGATACGAGGATTGTTATGAAAACGTGTATTTACTAGTTTGTGACCATGAAATGATTTTAATAACTGGCGAACTTAAAGATTTTTTTCTTTGACAGAACCCACGGTTCCAGTCATACGGAGAACCATCACGATAAGCACACCACCACAACTACTACGGAGCACCCTTCCACTGACAAACATCACGCTTCCCATCACTCCAGCAGTCATGTGGTCGAACATCCCGAACCCACCACCAGCCACTCCGTGACCGTGCACAAGAAACCCCACAGCGACCACCACGCCACGGTGCAGCACGACGACAAACACACCACAGAACACCCCACCCACGCCACCGAACACCACACCAGCAGTCATGTGGTCGAACATCCCGAACCCACCACCAGCCACTCCGTGTCCGTACACAAGAAACCCCTCATCGTCCACCATGCCACGGTGCAGCACG